GCTAGCATTACTCAGCCCTTTAACTCCTCACAGTATGATCTGGTTTTTAAAAATCACCATCTTAATTACACTACTCTCAAGGTGCTTTGGTATGTGATTAATTCAGAGTAAAGTGAGACTGATAAGTGTCTTTGTCCAAAGTTATACTTATGCACTAGCCAATTATAAATGAGCCTAAAGTTTTTTTGTTAGCAATATCTTCATTACGTTATTATCTCTCATTGGTTTGTGTAATTTAAAATGCTAAGGTTTTCCGTGTGGGTGTGTTAATTATGTGGCTATTATGATAAGTCCTATACTTGGGTATTGCCTTTTAAAATTTTATTCTGGAAGCCGGCCCCGTGGCGGAGCAGTTAAGTGCGTGTGCTCCGCTGCTGGCGGCCCGGGTTCGGATCCTGGTCGTGCACCGATGCACCACTTGTCAGGCTATGCTGTGGCGGTGTCCCACATAAAGTAGAGGAAGATGGGTATGGATGTTAGCCCAGGGCCAGTCTTCCTCAGCAAAAAGAGGAGGATTGGCATGGATGTTAGCTCAGGGCTGATCTTCCTCACAAAAAAAAAAAAATGTATTCCTATTATATTTTATCTTTCTGATTGGAACTCATATTTCAGCTAATGAAGATAATTTTGAAACTTGATTTTGTTAGTCTATTATACTAGCTATCTTTCCCAGCTCTATTTTATATACAAATTGAGTAAACATATAAATGTTTGTAAAAATATTACTGAAACAGACCAAAAAGAGAGAACCTAATGGGATAGCAGAAAATATTTCTCAAGTCTACTTCAGATCATTGATCTACATTGCTGCTTCTAGTTTTTCAACTAGCTCTGGATTTACCTAATTTTGTTATCCAGCCACATTTCCTTGTATTATACATAAGGCTATCATGGGAAACTTTCAGAGCTTTCCTGGAATGAAGTCATCCTTCATTTGATATTCTTCAATCTATCAGGATTTGGCAGTCAGTTAATTGTGGGAGTAAGGGATAAGAAGGAGTCCAGGGTGACTGAGCTGCTCTACATTGGAAGATGGGGAGGTGTTGTGGATGAGAATGTTATTCTCTGAGATGTGGAACCCTCGAGGGAGGACTAGTTTGAGGTTAAGTTCAGCTGGGGTCATGTAGAGCCTGTGGGGCCTCCAGGATGCCCATACGGAGCCATCCAGAGGGTAGGTGACCATTCAGGACTGATGCGTGAGAGTTGGTGGTGTCTAGTTGCACACAACATAAGCCATGTTGAAGGTGTGGGGCATACACCAAGGCAAAGCCTATGATGTGCAGAGAAATGGTTCTGGGTTGGCGCGGGGGGAGGTAGTAAACACTGTCACATTGAGGGAGTTCATGCCCAATAGCCTTCGTTTTTTGGTGACATGGGAAGAAACCTCATCTATTGTAAGAGAGGGAGAACTGGAGATTTGAGAGCAGTGAATGTTTGGAATCAAGTGGGAAATAGTAAAGGGAGCTTGCTAGAGATGGGAGGAGGAATTCTAAGCCTATGGGGGACGTTCTGCCCAGCTTCCCCCTTCCCTGCTGCCCTTAAAGACAACATACAAGACCTTTCCTCCTCTTTTTAAGAGTTTCTATTGCTAATCACTACAGCAGTGGTTCTCACCTGGAAGTTGTATCAGAATGTGAAAGAGTGTGGTTGTGTGTATGTGTGGAAGTGGCATTGGTAATTCCGACATACTCTCTAAGGAATTCCTTGTATTACAAGGGAATAATGAAAATGGGGAAATGAGAGTAACGGTTGTGTTCCCAGGTGGGTAGTTCCAGACTCAATTGGTGGAACTGAGTCTTTTGGGCTTGGAGTCTTGATTCACCTTGAATACCTTTGAATATCTCCTCGCTGTTTATGTGTCCCCTCTGCTGGGTATTTATACCCCAGAAAGCAGGGAGTGCCCCTTAGCACCCTGAACTTACCATTTTATGTGGTGATGGTTAGTTTCTTTGCTTCCTTACTGGCCTATCAGCATGTGTCCTGTTTTGTGTTCTGAGTCCCAGCACAGTGCCTGGCACAAGGTGGACACATGACAGATGTGGGATGAACTGTTGGCTGAAGTGAAGACTGAATCAGCCTGGCTATGCTGTTTCTGGTGGCCCTACCTCTGGGCGTCCTCCTGCTCGAGAAGGACTCTCATAGCTGATGGTTGAGAGGTGTACTTCAAGCCTTTACGTGTTTTTCTCTGAGAAACCAGCCTGACTTAAAGTTTATGGAGACCATCTTGGGGGCAAAAAGTACAAACATGACTGTATTCAGGAGGCCTCTGGCAGAGCTTCTTTGGTGTGACAATTCTTGTGAATCAGGACAGGCTAATTATATTGCAAAGTTCTTGTCTAGACACTCCCCTCGTAAATCGCCACAGAAATATTTCCCCCTTCTGTTCTGGCTGCTCCTTTCTAGCTCAGTATCCCAGCCATCTGCCAGCTACTAGCCACATGTAGAGGTGTGTGAACTAGGTCTAATACTTTTCTACTTTTTCTGTGTATTCTTCTACTTAATAATCACCAAACTCTCAAGGACCCTTAATCTGTGTCAGTAATGAGCATTGTTGGTTTTATCCATTTGTACCATTTTCTTGCCTGATTCAGTGAATGAACAGGGGCAGTTGCTTCTTACCAGAAGCCTTGGGTTTCCGGGGGAAATCTGTAAAAAATCCCTAGATTAGTCCTTGGTTTGGCGTGACTGATGAGGTAAGCAGCTGCTTAATAAGAAGCAAAGCTGAAAGTGGAATAATTTAATTAGCTTCTGTCTGCTGAGCCGTTAATGGAAGCCACAACTTGCCTACATGGAGCTCTTTAGTTTGAAATGAAACAAACATTTTTGCAAAGGGAGACTCTCAACATATACCCTGAAGACCCAGTTAATGGAAAGAAGTCTGTTGAAAATAGAAAATATCCAGTATAACAAAGACGTAATGAAAACTAGCTTTTTTAGGAATGAGGAATTTCTTAATGGTGAATTGTTCTAGTGCTTTTTTAATGTATTGGTTGAATTAACAGTTCACAAAATGCATAATGTTTCGTGATACCTACTATGTTTTATAACATAACTTTTAGAAAACATTCATGAAATAAATGCTCATTATATATGTTGAATTTCTTTTTTTTTTTTTTCTGTGTGTGTGAGGAAGATCAGCCCTGAGCTAACATCCATGCCAATCCTCCTCTTTTTGCTGAGGAAGACTGGCTCTGCACTAACATCTATTGCCAGTCCTCCTCCTTTTTTCCCCCAAAGCCCCAGTAGATATTTGTATGTCATAGTTGCACATCCTTCTAGTTGCTGTATGTGGGACGCGGCCTCAGCATGGCCGGAGAAGCGGTGTGTCGGTGCACGCCCAGGATCCGAACCCGGGCTGCCAGTAGCGGAGCGCGCGCACTTAACTGCTAAGCCACGGGGCCGGCCCAGTATATATGTTGAATTTTAACAGAAGTAAATGAGCAACCCATGCCCGTCCTCCAGGACCAGCAGGAAATATGCAAAATCCTCCAGGACAGACCATCCCCACCTTTAAGATTAGACTCTCCACTCTCTTCTGGTTACTGGTTTCATTTTCTTCATTGATCTGCCCACCAGCTTCCAGATCCCTATTCGCTTTAATCTTAGAAAAACATTTTCCCCTTTACACGTCATTTAGCAAATTATAATGATGTTTAATTTATGTACAAAACTTACTTTTATGTATAATTTGGTTAATATTAACCCTAGGTTAAAAGACCATAAATTAAATTTTTTAATATCCAATAAACACTTGTTGAATTAAAAAAAAAGTAAATAAGCTATAAAGTTAATGGAATCTTACAGAGAAGAATCGTAATATTGATATTTTTACTGAGTGCACATACCAGAAAAAAAGAATGAGAAACGAATTCATTACAGACACATGAATTTTGTCAGAAGGGGCCCTGTGGGAGATTGATTCTTATTATGATATCCTGGTTGGAAGGGAATGAAGTGAGGTTATTGCTAGTGCAGTCAATGGTTTGGCTTTTCTCTAGTGAATTGGCTTCAGTAGGTGATTTTATTTCTTCACATTAGGCAGCTGGAAATATGTATTGATTCATTTCCTTTTCATTTGAGGGTCAGCTCTATCAAAGATGGAGCCATAGAAATGCTGTATTTGCTGGATATGAGCAAATGCTTTAGTGTCTTTTTTGGGTCCGAATGTTCCTAAGATTTTTAGAGCCAAATAAAGTTCAGCTCAATGAGATAGAAAACATACTTTGAATGTGTATATATGCATATAACTATTCTTTCCGCTAACTCTATCCTTAAAACCTAAAGCTCTTTTATAAAACTCTTATATTTTAAAGATAAAATGCCATGGAGGATTTTTGGTCCAAGGATATGTGTGAATATTGCAGAATATTTTTTTAAAGTTAAATACTAGTTTAGGCAGTAACGGTGATATGATTCTTTTCCAAGATGGTATTATTCTTCATAAGATTTTAATTTTGTTTTAAATGTTGTTTGTCCCATTGTACATTTAATTTTTATTACATAATTATTTTTCATTTTGCTATAATGATGTTTTATTATGATTTTTGGCTTAATTGTTTCTTAAAGATTATCAAACTCATTTTATAGATGAGAAAATTGAGGCACAGAGAAGTCAGGTGATTTGTCCTGAGTTTAATTAAAAATAATATTACTAACAGAACACTTTCAGTTATAGTACTTGAAATTCCCTCCTAACATTAAAACTCTAAGACTTAAATTTTGAGTATCATGAGGTTGAATTTGTCTCTGGAAATTTATAATGTTGAGATCTTTAAGATAATAGATTTTTCCCTCTTTTATTTTAAATACCAGTATAAGATACATGACAAATAGCTGGTAAAGGCTTAAAATTCTTATAGTTTCTTTGTAGTCTTACATTTGTGCTAAATTAAAGTAAATTACTAAAAATATAACCACATACTGTTTTAAAATTAAAAAAATTCATTTAGGTTTATCATGAGCAATTTAAAGTAATTTATAGTCATCATTTCTCTTAACAGGTGAAGAAATATGGGTACCGACACCAAACTGGTCATCAGCACGGCTTTTACCAGCTTTTTCACCTTTCAGCTTCTTTTCCACTTTATAAGTTATTGGTTTTCAGCAAAAATTTCTTCAGGTTTTAATAGTCTCAGCTTCGAAAAGAGGATTGAATGGAACTCAAGGTAAAGTATATGAAAATGTAATTGATTAAAACGAAAGCTAGTTTTATGAAATAAAGTTATTTAAAATATTTCCAGAAAGTCTTTCATTTAGGGTCTAACAAAATCTAAGGTCAAATTTTTTATTTGACCTTAGGAATAAAAGGAAAGACAAGGAGATAGATCTCATACAAGAAAATTTTAAAAATTCTTATATTGAAAGATGTTAGGAAAAATTTATTTAACTTTTTGGGGAAGTGTGGGAAGGTTAAGTAGACTCCAGCTGACTGTGGAAGAGTAGTGTTTGCATTCTTTTCTGAAATATTCATGATAACAAGCACATATTCTTTGGAAATGATAATGAAGTAAACATTAGCTGGGGCTGTAAGTGGCCTATATATAGTATTGGCTGGCTTAGCCAGACAGAGGGCAGTTAAATGCTACACACCAGAGAACATGGTGTACGGTTAGCACATCTGTCTCTCTCTTTTAATGAACTTTTTATTAGAATTCAGAGCCCTTCAGAATTTATTCTTTCGTTATATAATTCTAGAGTAAAAATTGCTTTTCAGGTTTTTTTAAACACAAGTGGAAAACGAATAAGGCATCTAAGGATATAGAAATCTGTGGGAGTTTTAATTAGTTGGTTTGCAGATTTTTTTGTGTGTGCAACTTATTAATCTCTGAGAAGGTTTCAAACACAAAATGACTCTGATGACTGCTTCACTTGCTTTGGAGCATTTCAAGTGCCCAAACATCTCTGTGCATTTGCAAACCTCAGTGAATTGGAGCAGATGTGGGAATATTTTTTGTTGTTGTTATTAGGTTGAAGTTAATGCTAACTATAAAATGAATTCAGCAGTTCTCTAAAATTGCTATAATTATTTTTCATTGAAGTTTTCTTTTAGAATTAAAGAACTTCTGCCAAAGTCTGAGTATTTATTTGAGAATGGTCCTATTTGACCTGAAATGCCCTATGTTTGAGTCAAATTGTTTTGCAGGCATCCACTTTTATAACTCAGACTGTGAATAAAACTCTAGTTGTTTTCTTCTGCACCTCACACTGATTTGTCTGGTTCATACATGCTACAGCTCTTCTCACCTTAAAAGTAAGAATTATTTCTCCATGTACTCTTGAAAAATAAGAGGTATGATTGTCTTAAGAATAGCACAAAGATATTGTTCAAATGTGGGATACAAAATATACTAACCGTTATTTTTTAAAACCCTTTCTAACATGAAGATAGATAGAATAGAGAAGGAAGGGGCTGAAGGAGGGTGTTCATTTTCTGCGACTAAACTTTGAACTATTTTCATTTCCCTTTCACCATGGTTAGGATAGGTAAAGGCATTTGAATCTTGGAGAGCTGCAAGCCAGAGAAATAGGGAGAGTACAGAGAGAGAGAAGCAAAGATGAAAATGAAATGAAACAATGAAATTGAAAAATACTTTGCATTATTCAGTCTATCACTGCCATTCTATGATGCATGGAATCACCATTTGGGAAACTGAGTTCCCATTTGAAAAAGGAGTCTGGGATTATATAAAATGCATTATGCTATTCAAATGGTGTTCTCTCTTTTTCTCTCTCCAATTTACTCCTGTTTCCCACTCCACCTTGGTTCACATGGGACTTAAGCCATGAGGTGGAGAGTGCAAAGAAGGAAAAAAAATCGGCTGTTTTTTGAGTGAAGTACACATATATGTCTTGAAATCCTGTTTCCAGTCCTGAAACAGACAGATCAACACAACGCACATAATTTTTCCTAGTAATCAGGAAAGAGTATGAAGAATGAGTGGTCTAAGCTGTCTAGTAGAAAAAGAACAGGAGGAAAAAAAAACTCACCGGAAAATTTACACCTGAGAGATAACAGTTTAGTTAATTATAAGTGAGTAATTGCTGTGCTTAATTGTTGCTTTTTCTGAAAACATACATAGTTATAGATATTATTTATATCTCATAAGCAAAAAAATGTTCTTATATCCATTTGTTTTCCTATGGTATAGGAAGTCCTACTGTGTTGAAATACTCCTATTTTTTAAATCTACTTCTTCAAAATTTAACTCTTCTGTCTGTTTGAGCTATATAATCGCTATTGGTAATACTCATATTACTTGTGAATGATTAAATCAATAACTTTAAATTGCTATTCAAAAATGGTCATTATTTCCTAAAAAAAAAAAAGGCACTGTCTTTTGATAAGCACATTTCTTTTTAACCTTCTTTGAAAAAAAATTGAAATATTTTATCTTGAGAGCATCTTGATGTTTCTTTATAGACACTAAGGAATGTACATTTTGCTTTGCCAGGAATCTGATTTTAAAGAATGAAATGTGAAATTTTTACTAACAGAAGTTTCTGACCATATAGACACTAAGGAATGTACATTTTGCTTTGCCAGGAATCTGATTTTAAAGAATGAAATGTGAAATTTTTACTAACAGAAGTTTCTGACCATATAGACTTTTACATATAGTATGTAAGCACAGGGTATTTGCTTCTCCTCTTCATTCTAGTGGGAGCTATTTGATACAGGTAAGATTTAACCTTTCCTTTCTTGAAGTATATGCTATTTCCATCAGCTGAGGGCTTGTAATTCTTCCCGTTTACCATATAACATCTCAACAGAGAAGGAAATTTGAGGCCTGAGTATCAGGAACAAAAAGTTAGATTTTTTTCCAAGAGGAAACTTTTTGCTATAAGGTTACTAAATGCTAAAACAGGTTAGTGAGAGGTTATATTTTTTCCTTTCATAGAATTTTTAAATGGCGACAGAAAGCTTGTTGGATGATTATTTAGATGGAGTGTTTTATTTGATATCAAGGAACTTACATTTTTATCCTGCTGTGTTCAAATGAAATACAGGTGTGCTTGGCGTGAAAATTCCAGACTTATAAACCAGATAAATTGGATTAATTATTCACACTTCAAAATGATCCTTTGGTATTCCAAAGTGTTCTTTGTTAATGCCTTTAAATTAGTGAAAATCTTTGAGCATTTAAAATATGATTTGATGTAGCTTGATATGTCTATTTAGGACCACGTCATGTATTAAATCAAGTATATTGATTTTTCAGGTTACAATAAGATTTTCTAATATCAAGCTTCATATTGGTTGATATATTTCACTAATTTTTAAAGATTTGGGGTCATATTGTAGTGAGAAATTCTTTGCACACCATTAATTTCTAAAGAGAAAACTTTGCTATACCTTTCATCCTTTATTCTAATGAAGAGAAAAGAAACTTCATTACTTGTAAACTTTTTCATTGTGTAAATAAATATACAGTATCTTGTATACAATTCTTTAAGAAATACATCATAGAGCTTGGATATTGGTTGAGTCATTAAATTATTAGCAAAATATGTTCATAGAAAATGATGTTTTTCATCTAAACCTTAGTCCTTCTATAAAAGAAAATCTGATCTGGATCTTGTGAACATTTTGCTTTCACTTGGGTGTTTCTTTTAAAAATAGGTTTTCTGTATAAATTCGTAGTCCTCAATTTTTCTGTTTAGAAGTGCTTTCATAATAATGATGAAGAGAGACTAATAATAGCTGCTATCGCTTCCTCACAGATTTGTTACAGGAATCAAGTGTAATAATGCATGTGAATGTGCATTTAAAACTTGGAGTCTCTAAAGTAATAAATATTCATTTCATGATCCATTCGAATTCTGATTCAAGGATTCCACTGGTTAAGGCCAGTAGATATGGAAGTCCTTCCTAACTGATTGGAGAAAGAAACTAATCCCGCAGTGATGCTGTTGGGGATGGAGCTTGGAGCAGGGTGCAGGGTAGTGGGCTCACCAGTTGCCATCGATCAGCTGCATCATCAGATATGCTTCTGCTTTAGAACTTTTAACCAATAAGTGACTCACCAATTTTCTAGTAGGAAATTGTAGACTTGGGTGTCCTTCTTGTTATTAATTCCAAAGTCAAGTGTGGCCCTTGGATTTCTAAATGGCATCTTATGTTATACTCTCAGATGTACTCCATTCTTGTATTTAAATTCTTCCAGATTTACCTTCTTCAGAATGTTAAATGTCTTGTCAGAATTAAAGTTTATTGCAAAGAATCTAAAATCTTTGTGTGTATTTTCTTTCATTTCAGGGTAGTATCTACATGCCATTCTTTGGTGGTTGGGGTCTTTGGCCTGTACATTTTCTTGTTTGATGAGGCTACTATTGCTGATCCACTTTGGTAAGCTGTTTCTTTCCAATATCATCAATTTGATTTATGTTTTGATATTAATTATTAATAAGAACATCTCTTTAAAAGTGAAAACATATTGATGGTTGTGTTCAGACTTATTTGAGCAAGGCGCATTAAGATGATTTATTTTAATTTGAATACAAATAAGGAGGGCCATTTTACCTTAGTATTGCAATTGTTATCTATAACAGGGAGAATATGATGATGATGTAAACATTTGTACTGTGTTAGTGAGTGAAACCAAGTTATTGTAATCACTGTTCTGAGCAGAAATCAGTTGTTATTGAGATAGGAATCAACTTGGATAATATCCACTTCAGACTTAGTCTTCAAATTTATGTTTGACCCATCATTCGATATCAAAGATATGAAAATGAGAAGAATAGGTGTCCATGAGAGGAATTTAGTACCACATGACAAGATTTGAAGCTCTAATAATAACTATGTTCAACAATAATAGGATATTTGTGAGATGGTTCTTTTTGAAACATTTAAATGGCAGAAATTTTACAAACTATATTTGCTGGTATTATGTGAGAAGGCTTAGTTCAGCTTAGTTTGAGAAATGAGGTATGTTTTGAGAAAGCGCTGCATAGGGATAATGGTAGATGTGGGCTCTAGGAGTTGTGTGGCAACTTAACCAGGGGTTTGACCACCTGTTTGACTGCAACGATGTTGTTTTTTATTTATAAATATGGAATTATGCCCACCAGAGTTATACTAGTATTGATGAATTTTCATTGGGAAGATGTTTTTCAAAGTGAATCAGTTTAGTAAATTTAATTCCTTGACCGAGTTTTTATGTAATCTACCTAAACAATTTCTAGCCTTTTTTTTTTTTAAATTTTAATCTTACTAACATGATTGTCAACAGACCCTGTTCTTCTGGGAAGTAAATTTTATCATAAAGATTTGATTCATTGATGGATTTTTGTCCATATCAAACTTTTACTTACCATAATTCTTGATATTCTTGCATTTTCTTTTATGCCATAATTTATTCCAGGTCCAACTTTCCTAGGTCGTATTTGCAGATCAAAACTTATAAAGAAGACATGACTTCTGCTGAATCTTTCCAGTTTAGCTGTTACCAGTTTTATTTTTGTGTTCATTTTATCAGTAAAAAAATGGTCCTAAATAAGATAAAGGACTGATAATTTATGTTTGTTTGTTGGAGCAAAGAGCACTAGTAGGCAGAAGTGTAGGGGTCAAAATAGGGTGAAACTGTCCCACCATTTCCTAATTGTGTGATGATGGGCAAATCCCTCTGGTCCTCAGTAAAGTGATGATGATAACAGTATATTGCCTCAAAAATCAGAGGCAGGCTAGATGATTTCTTGAGGCATCTGGAGTCTCTGAGTCAGAATATGGAATCAAAAAAAAAAAAATCAGTATCTGGAATTCCATTTGCATTCGTTCACAAACAAATCATATGAGAACACATTTATAAAAAGTTGTCTTTTGGAAAAATTATTTTCGTAAAACTTTTACCTAATATAAGAAATTATGATTATTTGTGCCATTAGAAATATTGTTGGGCTGGCCCCGTGGCGTAGCGGTTAAGTGCGCGCGCTCCACTACTGGCGGCCCGGGTTCTGATCCCGGGTGCACACCAACGTGCCGCTTCTCCGGCCATGCTGAGGCTGCGTCCCACATACAGCAACTAGAAGGATGTGCAACTATGACATACAACTATCTACTGGGGCTTTGGGGAAAAAAAAAATTAAAAAAGTTAAAAAAAAAAATATTGTTATAGCTAACACAGTACCTTGTGCAAATGGCAATTTACCATTTGAGTATCTACAGAAAGAATTTTCCTTATATTTAAATCTCAACAGAAAAAGAAGTAGCTGTCATCTAAACCCGTGTGCTAAACAAGGAACTTTTTTTTTGTTTAAAATATTTATAGGGGTGATCCGTCGTTTGTGAAAGTGAATATTGCTGTTGCTTCAGGCTACCTCATTTCTGGTATGTGATATGTTGTTCACTGTCTATTTCTTTTTAAACTACTCATGGAATTATGCAAAGAATACATAGACTATGCTTTTGATTTATTTATTTGAGAAGTAGCTTTTAGGACCCATACAGAGGAAAAAATACCTGCTGTAATGGTAGAACCTGAAATATTTTTCCTGTGGCTCTCTGGTTCTTGTCGAAGATCAGAGCTGTAGGGGAGGGCCTCAGTTAGGCCTGGACATTTTTTACTAGTGATGGTCCCTTTTTGTCCTAAAGAGTCTCTTGGGTGGAATTACTGGGAAGCTAATGACGTTTAAGCCTCAGATCGCTGAAGGTCCCTCACGTGCAAGGGCCCTTGAAATGTGTTCCCAGGGTCATAGTTTTGTATTGTTTTGGTAAAATTGTGAAAGTAAGCTATTTTAGCCATAATCAGTTAAGATCATGGACTCTTCCTACTCCACGTTTCCCTCTGTTGTATTTCCCCCCACGTTGCGTGGGGTTGAAATAGCCTTTTAAACAGTAAGACAAATGGGAAGTTGAGAATATGCCATTTTAACTGCTTTTTGAAGACATCTTGGACTGTCTCAATAAAATGAGAGAAATAACAGATCCTTGTTTGGACATTTATAGAGAGAACCCTATGTTGTAATTTTCAAATTTAATAAATAGCTGAAAGAAAATCCAAATGAAAATAATGGAATAAGAAACAAAAATGATAAAGATGAGTGATGGGTTCAATAGAAAATTTTCTGCCATCAAAAAGTGAATTGTAACAAGAAATTAGATTGTACCAAAACACAGTGATTCATTAAGAGGAAGAGATAAATTTTGAATAAGATTAGTGAATACACTATTGGCTTATTTGGCCCAATTAAAAGAAGAAGGAATCATGTGAACACAATGGAAAAAGATTTGCTTATTTGGCACAAAATGCTGTCATTGACAAGATAACATAAAATTTATAATATACCTCATGCATTGGTTAATGAGTATTGTCGATTCAGAGAGTAGTCACTACCCAGGAAATCTTGTATGAAATAAACTTAACTGTTTTCCCAAATTAAATAACAATCCAAAACATTTAAAAACAAGAGATATGAACTAAAACAAACTTTTCTAAACCAAGCTGAATTAAAAGTGAATTCTTTTTTATTCTCTCTATAGAAAATATTACAAGATCATTATCATATAAATTGGTGACCAAAGAGTACTTAGCCAAAATATGTAGACAAGCTGTATCTAGAGGGTATTATCAGGCAGTTAATTTACTAATGGTATTATATTTTCTTGATTTTCACATTTGTGGTATTTATTTTCCCTTTAAAATTTGTAATTTGATGATTTCTCTTTATAAATATTCACGTCTAGTTTTGTATTAGTCATTTTTATTTTCTTAAAAGAAGGTCTCCATATTATATAAGCTCTGACCCCACAAAACCTGAATCCTCCCCTGGTCTCCATCCATGATAGTGATTTGTTTCCATGTCTAAATTTCATGTTTAACTATTTGGTAAAGAAAATAGTTGTGTTAACATTTTGAGAAGTTTCTGTTTTATTAAAGGAAACTATTTTCTGAATCATGGTCTTTAGATTCAGGGTCTTTTAAAGAAAATCGATTCCTTGACCCCTTTCTTTATATATCTTTTTAATAATCATAGTTCTTGGTAGTTTTGCTATTTTGAATTAATATTTAATTGCATCCTTTGTTAATTTTTAAATATTTTTTCTTGAATTTATATTGTAAATGCATTGGTCATGTTGTACCTTTTCTGCCACCATCTTATCTGTTTGAATTATTGTAATGATAAAAATCAGTAATTTAAGCTTATTTTAAAATTATTTTTATTCAATAATATTTCCATTTTATTTAACCCTGGAAACAAATTATTCATTTATACTTTCAACAAATATATCACATGGCTGTATGTCAGGCTCTGCGCTGGATGCCCACACTTGGTCCTCATCCTGGAGGAGTCCCAGTAGAGTGGGGGAGACAGTTATATGGAAGCAGATACTTTACGATAAAGTGGGTGATTGGATTACTGAGGTATGAACAAAGTACGCTGGGCTCAGAGTGCACTGTGATGAGTTGTCAGGAGAAGGAGTTAAATATGCTTGAAAAACAATGCACCTTTCTTCCTGTAGAATATCTCACTTATTTTTCCTTCTTACAGATTTGTTGATTCTCATTTTGTATTGGAAAGTGATTGGTGACAAATATTTTATAATTCACCATTGTACAGCGCTGTACGCATACTACTTTGTACTGGTGAGTGCCAGAATTTCCAATAGCCTTACAAGCAGACAAGGTTGGGAATAGTGACTTAAGTGTGAACATAAATCTAAACCTACAGTTCTTGATTTATAAAGACCAACTCCAGATGTATTCAGGAATCACTCTTGTGATATGTTATCTTGCTTATTAACAAAAGTAATAACTTTACTTGTGTGTCTGTATTAGTGTGTCTATTTGGATTCATAAACTTTGAGACAGGCAGGTTGTACCCAATTTCTTGAATTTTCACTTAAAACCTTTAGAATTGTGTAGCTATTGATATTTGTGTCTTTCTAGATGCATTTGTGATTTAACAGCCAGAGCTAGGTATGGATTCCTGTATGATCGGCTAAAATCTTTCTTTTCTGTTTAGTTGCATGTGCAATTACATGTACATGCATAATTACCCTTATGGGGCTGGAGCAGTGGGGGAGTCTTGCTCAGAGACTTCTTCGGAATTCCGAGACTGAGCTAATAGAGGATATAGCAAATCTCAGGCAGTAGTGCATATTAAATTTTATATCTAAAATTATTTTTCTACATTATACATTTGTAAATTAGCAATTTTATATCCTTTGCATGTTTGTTAGGTTTCTCCACAATCAATTATTTTTCAACCTAGACATACCAACAAGCCCAAGATAGATATTTGGAAATAATAGATATATGTAAACTAGAATAGTATAAATTTTATATAATAGATATGGTATACCATTCCATATTTTCTCTGTTTTAAAACTTAAATATAACCACTGGATTTTTAAAATTATTTCGTATTACTAAAATCTTTATATTACTGGACTTTTGTGAGTATTTGCAGGGCTTTTAAAAAATCCATACAAATGCGTATTAATAATATTCTTATAATTTTCTTTATATTAACCCACACAAAGATAGCTGGTGAATAAGAGGTCAATTTGGCATTATGTCTACAAGAATTAGATACATCAAAGCATCTCTCTATATCACCCATTTGAAATCGTAAATCTAAATAATTAATATAAATGTTTTAAAATCTATGCCAGTTATAAATAAGGGCTGTGTATCCCAAAGGCTATCCATAGTCACTTTATTTTTCTGAAGCAATAGGCTATTTTTACTGGCGTATCCTACTGTTTATTTCTTTGTCTTCTTTTTTAGATTTTCATAGATTATAGGTAGTTATAAAATATAGATTTACACCTTTTACAGATCTTAGATATTTGGTATACAAACACTTTGTTTCCTAAACACTTTCGTTAAAAAGATGTGCAAACTAACAAAATACTGGTTAACTCTGGAGAGAATGGGTGTGGGTACCCATGTGAGTTTAATATCATGCTGCAATTTAGAAGTATGTTCCCCGAACATGAGTCACAAATAATCATTGTGCTAGGAAAGAATATAAGCTGGTGAAAGATAGCAGGTCACTCACACACATTTGTAAATGTGAATACTATGGGCTGCTTCTCTCACAGGCTTGGCAAGTGGCTGGCTGTGCAAGGGCTGGCAACTTGAATATTTAATTATGCGGGATGAATACTATTATCTCTTTGGACTTTTATGACTTTTTAAAAAATAAGTAAAGTACATGCTGGATTTTTTAAAAAGAAATTAACTGTTGCTTTATTTAGTAAGGTTGATAAGAAAATCAACTGCAATTTTTTCTAGAGATGGTTGCTTTTTTTGATATGTCTTCCTATGTTCTACTGTAGGAAATGAATGGTATGAAATAAATTTATCTAATTAAAGTGAGTCTATTCATAAGGAAACAAAATAGAAAAAATTAGATGAAATAATAAATGTTTATAAATGTAGAGGTTCTATGTCATTTACAGATCTTACATTTACTCTTTGAACATAAGAAAATTTTTTTCTGTACAGTGAATTCCCAGGTCACTTAGTGCATTTTAAGTAAGGCTAACAAAATAATAATAATAACAACTCCTCCTGTTATTATTTTGTATAAACTTGCATGAAATTCTTATCAGTTATATAAGGAGAACTGGTATTTTGAAATCTCTTTGACATAATACTTATGCAGCCATTTAAGCTGTTTGTAGTAAGCATTTTTCTTAAAGGATTGTCTAATTGGAACAAAATAAAACTTAAAGTGAAAAATAGAGGCAAGTTACCTGTAGGTTTTAAATGTATGCCTACTGAATAGTTGAAAAATAAGATTCTTTTGAATTTAGGGTATTATAGGTTATATATAGGTTATATAATGTCTTGATCACTATTTTTATAGCTCTCACTATTATATTTACTGGAGTTTTAAAATTCTCTGGTGGAGTAATTTAGAGCTTAAGGAATCCTCTCTTCCGTCTGTATAGGAAGGTAAGAATCCTACAGCTTTTTTCCTGATATTCAGCTTTCACCCCTTGGGCAGGATTAATTAGCAGGGAAAATATGACAGGCTAATCTCTTACCATAAGGGAAGTGAACACATTTGTGCTCTAATGTCCTGTTTTTAAGGATAAACCACCATCTTTTGTACTCCCTTTCTGACTTCGTGGGTAGTCTTCGTTTTCTTCTGTGTTCTTGTGAATAACCTCCTCTCCCCAGTCAAACCACACCTTTAGAGAAAGAGTTCCAGTACGTTTGGAAGAGTAGATGCATCCTTCCCCAGCTCTTCTGCATTATTACACTACCCTAGAATCTAATCATTAAACCATTCTGCTACAGTTTAGGGAGAAATTTTGGTTTCAGATGGCTCTTGTTGCATTTATCTAAGGCTATTAGGTGCACTGTGACACCTCGAGGATGAGAATTTCTGTTTTTTGTTTAATGTTTTACTTTGGTATCTACATTTTAAAAACATTTGCAAGCAAACATGTATGAAGTGGTATTGGAAAATGAAAGATTTGTTATGTCGGATAAAGTTGTAATTTATACCAGGAGATAAGAATTAGAAAAATATTGGTCTTCTGTTTAGTCTAAAGAAAAATTTCCACAATGCCAGGAAACAAATGCCATGACTCACTAACATTTTATCATTAACAGTGTTAAAAAAGAAAAACTACAGTTTTAAAATGATTTTAATAGTGTTGCCTATTCTCGGTTACACCTAAATAATGTATTTCCTCCTTTTCTCCCATTAAAATAGCCTTAAAGAAAAATTTTAGGTAACTATAGTAGCTGTTATAGCAACATTTCAAAAGATAAAATTTCAAAAATTAACACTTCTGTTGACTAGGTAGGTATTAAAAATAGCTGCGTAATATAGCTTACTAAAGCAAGATTCAATAGCAAGGTCTGTGTGATTTCTATTTCCTACTAAATTTACATACAATAAAAGATGTTAAATATTTACATCAAAGAAAAATATTCTAAAAACTTGAATAGCGTATTAAATAATTTTTTTCCTACTGAAATAGAAGACTGTCAGCTTTCTTATACAGTAATGAGCAATAGACTGGTGGAAGTAAGTCTTAGAAATTGTTTTATTAGTAGTTCTACAGCTCTCTTATACAAATCTATATAAAAGCACAATTATACAGTTAGTTTATAACTCTTAATACTAATCGAGGGATTAGCCTTGGTAAAAATGTTAAGTGGTCACTTTAAAAAAATGTGTTCTATATGTGTGTGTGTGTTCTCTATATATGTAGATACACACATATATATACATATATGTATGTAGGTTTTGGTTTTGGAATTCATTTTACTATTTCATTTTTAATATAGAATATCTGATGTGACCATTCCGCATATTTCGTGAACATAATAAAGCTCCTCTGAGGCCTTCTTCAGTTTTGGTTCAGGAGGAGTTCAAGACTAGTTCCTCCTTCCTTGTTCTGTGGTTACTGCTTCATGCTCTTTTGTGGGCACAGACCATCCCCTCGGATTTGCGTAGAGAGATTATCTTAGTAGAGCTGTCTCCCTTTCTTTCTCTAAGCTGGCTTGATTTTTGAAACCTATTTTCCTTTCAATACCAGGAAAGAAAACTATTCATATATTGGACTTGGTGTGTGATGATAAAATAAACGTCAGCCAAGAGAACTGCCCTGTCTACCCTAGTCAATATTTTGTTTTTAATTAGATTTTTAAAAAAGCAATCTTATTATATGATTCTACTTATATGAGGTACTCAGAACAGTCAAATTCTTAGAGACAGAAAATAGGATAGTGGTTACCAGGGGCTGAGTGGAGCAGGTATTGAGAAGTTACTCTTTAATGGGTGAGAGTTTCAGTTTGGAAATATAAAAAAGTTCTGGAAATGGATAGTGGTGACAGTAGCACAACAATGTGAATGTACTTAATGCCACTGAATTGTACACTAAAAGTGGTGAAAAGGGTAAATTTCATGTTACGTATATTTTACCACAATAAAGCAAAGTTAAAAAAAAAAGTGACCTTATCAAATGATTGAAACAAAGTTAGGAAGAGGAACTAATAATATGTTGGATGATGTATCACATTTTTAAAAGTTTCAAAGTGGAAAAGTGGCCTGAAACAAATAGATGGAACCTAATAGTGATAAATGTTAAGTTTTGCCTTTAGGTTTAACAGCGTATAAGAGGGGGAATGACTTGGAAGTGGTAGTTGTCTGCAACTTCAATTGCATCAAAAGCATGTCATATCTGCTAAAAAAGAAATTTATACTCTATTAAGGGAGGTACAGTATCCTGTTCAAACAAAATTACAGTTTTCCTGGTTGGACCATACCCAAGCTCATCATCACCTGGAGTCTCTAAAATGGCATGTGTTCAGGGGTGAGCTGCTGGATAACTGTGGAGGGAGATCAGATTAGGTAGCTATTGCCCTAAGATAAACAATTGAAGGACCCAGAGAGGTCAGCCTAGAAAGGATAAGAAGTTGTAGGACATAATGGCTTTGAAGTGTCCTTGGAAATGTGAAAGCACTATTTAGTGGAAGAGGAAGTAGACTTATTCTGGATTAATTCAGACATTGGAACTGGAACCAATGGGGATGGTAAAGACAGGTAGGGGAGACTTCTGTTTTACAGAAGAGATATCCCCAATTGAATACAAGATTATAACAATGGCCTTTTA